TACCATATGGTAAGCAGTAGTCATGATGGGGAATACAATAAAATAGATTAAATCCTGCTGTCATCTTTCAGAAAATAATTATAAATACATGAAATGTGTTCAAGAAAGTAAAGTATCCAATGGTACAGAGCTAAGAAGAGTACAGAAATATGTATAGGATTGAAAAAGAGATATTTGAGTTTGGACTTGAAACATATAAATGATGAGCTGAAGAAGAGAAAAGGGTGTATTTCATGTAGAGGAAATCAAAAGCTGAAAGAGAGGCGGCTATAAAAGCAGCATAGACTGAAGTAGAGACATATGAGGTCTCACAATTTCTGTGCGAAGAACATATTGGTTTCTCAGTAGCAGAATCAGATGTTGAGGAGTTGTGTTAGGCATAGTTTTCAAAATCCCAAAACAGCATGTTGTGTGGGACCTTGACTGCCGGGCTACCTTTGATCTTTAGATGTCATTTTCAAAATCAGGTCCATGTGTGTTGAATGAGGGCAGGTGGGTAATGCGAGATGAATCCTAACTAGACGGGCTCATTTCCTGTAGGATTTCCCATGATTCTTTAATTCAGGATACCAACAAGAGGCCATAATATGCATTTCCCCAAACATATTTCCTTCTTTCTGTGACCCATGTATGTGGAATGATATTTTTCCTCTTAACACATGTGGGGAACCCATTGTTTTTGGCCATAATGAGCCAGAAAGACCATTAAGGTCAAGAAATGTCAAGGTGAAAATCCTTATTTGAGAAAAATTAATATGGTGGGAGTTGGTAGGAGAGAGTACTGACCCCTGCACTGTGGGAGTCAGGAAGATAGTTGTAATGATACATGACTGGAGATGAATGGTTCTATTTTAACATATAAAGTTATAGATTTCATCTTACATTAGCTGCTTATATGAACTAAAGAGTAGAGCAAGAGCTGCTGATAAGTACTGGAACATGATTTGTAGATAAGCACAATTTATTAGGATACATCCCCAGAAAGTGGCTAAAAGGAACAGAGAATTTATACCATTTTATGTTATTCTGAGGGCATGGAGAAACATGAACAACCTAAAAAGAAATCAGATCAGTTTAGTCCAAAAGAAGAATGAATTTGAATAAAGATCTTATTGTGAAAATCCCATTGTTTTTGTTGGTTAAAAGTTTACTAGAGGTATTTGCAAATTAAGATTTTATTACAATTATGAGAATGAAAGTGAACATTTGTGGACTTGTGATAACAGCAAAATGAGAACATAAAAATTATAAGGTAGCTCCTCCATGTGGGGAGAGGGAGATTTTTGATTCTATGAGAGTATGAAGGGATTATTGGAACTCACAGATCAAATGGAATCATGGATGTATTTGGATCAGTCATTCATAGGAAATAGCAATTGTGTCTGTTGTTCTGAAAGTTGGAAAAGAGTGTGAGGGATTATGAAGAAGCATAGAAACCAAAGACTGAGGAAAAGGTAAAATCCAGGATCATGCTCTCATCTTCTTAGTAAGGTGGTATCTGATGGGAATGTTGACCTCTTTTTCTGAGAAATAAGCCAGAGAATAAAGAAGATCCAACAAAATGGCCAAGAAGTAAGTGTGGTCCAGGTGGTGTCACCGAGTGGAGCCCTGTCAGCTCTAGCGGCCACTGGTAGTACAGTTCCCTCCGTGGTAACTTAAATAGGCACACTCACAGCATCCAAGCTTACACCTTCGAGGCCAGCAGCACAATCCTCTGCATCCAACCTACCCCATTCCCCATGCCTTGGATCTCTGACTTCCAATGATAGCCAGAAAAAAAAAACAAAACAAAACAAAACAAAACAAACAAAACAGAACAAAAACCACCTTTCTGCTTTTGAAGAACTCACCTCATTATATTACTTTCCACACAGACTATCCTCTTTTTTAAAGGTAAGATCAGCTGATTGTTGACATTAGTTACATTTATAAAATTCCTTCAGACATATAGATTCTGAGTGTGAAAATGACATCATATTCATGGTCCTAGATATTAGAGTGGGAAATCATGATGCCAGTTTTACGATGTGACTTGCACAGAATTCAAATATAATTTTGTATAATTCTATTTCTTAAAATTTTGAGTTCATATGCATTATTTTCCAGAGTGTCATTGATGTGATGGTGAAGAAAAGTGTATAAAAGCATAAAATGTTTAGTTGTAAATGTCTTCAACTATGTTTGCCAGTCACTATAAATAAATGGATAATTCTCTGTTAATGTATTTAATCACTTTCAACCAAATCAGTTACTTAAAATGGAGAGTTTTGTTTTACTCAGGCTATCCCTTTGTTTGTATTTTTAAGTTGAAATGCATTGGGTTGGATCATGATTTATGCATTGTTGGTATTGTTCATGATGTTTCGTCTGTGTTCTGGCTGAGTTCCCAGTAAAATAATGGGAGAATTTTTAGCAAAGTCAAGAGGAAGTAAGTTGACATGGGAAATTGTTGGAAAAGAATGCTAGTGTGAAAAGGGAGCCACACAGTCCCAGAGAGTTTGACTTTTGTTGTACTGGTCATGTAATACTTGGAAATGTTTTAATATTGGTTGTGTAATTACATGCTTTATCAAATGATTCTTTCAATTAATATTCTAGGTGTTTAAGCAATATTAATGTATAATAAGTAGATAATAAAATACAGTGGAACATAAAATATATGCAAAAGAGCTCATATATTTTTCTCACAATATGAGCAATGGGACCTTTATATCGTTATCCCTATTTTAGTTATGACAGAATCAAGTTCTCAGTGCCTTAAGCGATAGCCCATTTTCTCATGATTAAGTACAGATCAGAATGAGGATTCACATCTAAGTATGTGTGATCTCAAAATCCAGACCTTAATGGTTATACTAAATAAATGGCAGATAATGTATTTTACAATAAAAATTGATAAATTGTATAAAGTAATGTATCTTTCCTTTTTCAGATGGGAATTTCTGTGTGGTTGTTTTGTATTCATTTCTCCACTGGTATAACCTCCTTCCCTTTTAAGGATGTAGCATGCACACCAGCATATCAAACACAATAAAGAAGTTTTGACAAACATAACATTTCCTAAGTTCATTTGACCATGAAAGAAGTTTTCCTTTAAATTTAATACCTGTTATCATATATTTTGTGAAGTGCTGATAAGTAAAAATAAGTATTTAAAATTATTATCAAGTTATTTAGCATTTATTTTTGTTAGGAAACAATAACTCTTACAGAAATATAATATTCAGAATTGGGCACCTAATTTTTTTTGAATTTTGAAAGTTAATGAATTTCAGAGTAAAATGGCTTAATCGTTGGATACTTTAAATGATAAATGTATTTGCCTTATGTGTTCATAATGAAATGCTATCTGTGGGTTGTGTGTTTAATTACTTTCTACTCACTGAAACTATTGTTTGCCAAGTTACAGAATTAACAACCCTAAACCTTTCAGAAAACACCATGAGAATTAAATGCCCATTAAGTGGATGACAGAGAGAGGTCTCATTTCTAACAGAGCAGTACCCTCTAGTGCTCATGCTCAGTCGTGTGTTCTCCAAATCCAACAGAGGGGGTAAATGTCATATAGTGAATTATTTTACTGTCTCAGGTTTAAGTGAAATACTCTATTATTCATAACTGTATCTTTCTGAAAAGAGTCCAGACATTTCCAATATTATTCAAAAATATTACCAGCATTTCTATGATATAGGGAAAATTAGCTCTTGCATCTATTTGTCTCCTAAAAGTAAATTCAGTATCTGAGAATGAAGAAATGAGTGGTTGTTTAATCTTCCTAAATGGTTTGTAGAAATGGATGATGGACCTAAGTCTATTCTCTAAAAGTTAGTTCTGTCCCATATATGCATTGGAGCAAGTGCTTAAGCTGAGAAAGTGAAAATAAAGCTGTTGATGTGAATGTCCAAGATCGTCGATTATTTTAATGAAATTCTTTCCTGGAAAAGTAGTCTTCTTTTTGATAAATTTTGGAGTGTTGGTTTACAAAATGGTACCATATTATCAGTCAGTATATTGCAAAGGCAATTGTGTTGTGTCAGAGTTTGATTTACCATGCTTTAAGGTTGGTTATTCGGGATCAGGGATGTGGCACAGTAGGTTAAGGTCCTGGCCTGCAGTGCCAGCATCCCAAATGGGTGCCAGTTCAAGTCCTGATTGCTCCACTCCCAATCCAGCTCACTTCTGTGACCTATGAAAGCAGTAGGAGATGGCCCACGTCCTTGGGCCCCTCCTTGTGTGACCTCTTTATCTGTCTGACTCTACCTATCTCTGTAACTCTTTCAAATAAATAAGTAAATCTGTAAAAAATAATAATGCTGGTTATTCAAAAACAAAGAATTCTCTGACAAGCTATCCACAATCAAGATGGCCTACTTTCTTTTATTTATTTATTTGAAAGTCAGAGTTACACAGAGAAAGAAGCAGAGGAAGAGAGAGAGAGAGAAAGAGAGAGAGAGAGAGAGAGAGAGTTTTCCATCCTCTGGTTCACTCCCCAATTGGCTGCAAAGGCCAGAGCTATGCCGATCTGAAGCTAGGATTCAGGAGCTTCCTCCAGGTCTTCCCATGAGGGTGCAGGGGCCCAAGGACTTGAGTCATCTTCTACTGCTTTCCAAGGCCAAAGCAGAGAGCTGGATCAGATGTGGAGCAGTTGGAACTTGAACCAGAGCCCATATAGAATGCTGGCACTGGATGCGGCGGCTTTACCTGCTACGCCACAGTGCTGGCCCCAAGATGGCCTAACATTTGTTAGCTTCCAAAATAATTATCCAAAACATTTTCACAGAGGTAATACACAGAATGTAGCTCTTTATGGATGCAAAACTTTGCCCATTATTCATTACTTCAGTCGGTTTTACTGTTTGGAGACAGGATTTGGTAAAGTGTCTAAACCACAACAATGAGTGTGCCTAAGAGAAAAATTCTAATTTATGCTTAAATTTCTGAATAAAGTTCTTCAGTTATTTGAATTTGCTACTAATACATGTTTTAATATCCACATTCAGTTGCTACAGGGTAGGGCACCCAAGCCCAGCAAGTGGGAACTTCTTCAGCCTGGCAGTGGTGGCGGCGTAGCTGAGCAAGTCAGTGGGGACTGTGACGATGAAGATGGTTGTGGGGGATCGGGAAGCGGAGAAGTCAAGAGGACGCTAAAAATCACCGACTGTAAGTGAATGATTTAACACTACCTTTAAGAATTTATTTTGAAATATCTTAAAAATAATTATTATGAATATAAGAAATAATGGCAATTCAGCAGTGTGGAAGATGAAATTAATGGAACTAAACCAATATGTGGTTATTTAGTAATGCATTCTTGGGGTGTTGCTTGAGAATTATAAAGGTTTTAAAGTGGGGCAATTTTTAGAGCATAATGAATCTTAAACATACATTGATAAATAATGTGAAAACAGGAAGTATGAATATGCCAGCCTGCCAAAAAGTGTGTAGTTTATATTATTATGCCGTTATATGAGTTTTTATTTTCATCACAGTCCAGTTGCAAAGAAATTAGTAACTATATAGTTAATTATGGTGATACACAGTTTGTATGTAACATGGATTTGCTCTTCCAAAAATTTGCCAGATGTTCACTTTACTTTGAATGTGTGGATTTGCAGCCATTTCTAGTCTGCTGGCCTGCTAATTACTACAACAGCCACAGCTTCCAAATAACAACAGCAAAGCACCACTTGAAATTCCTTTCCTGGTCTTCACATATAACATGAAGAACATAGGTTCCTGCCTTTTTTATTATGTGCCTATACTTGCTCATATAGGCAGAACTAAAGCGATCAGCTGAGAAAGAAACGTGAAAGCTAATATGCCCAGTGCAGCTGGCTTTCAACTATTCTTTGAGTTCTGATTGCATTAAGGTGAGGGTGAAGCTAAAGTAACCTGGACACGTGCAGCCCCATGAGGACTGTGGTCTTGTAGTTGACATCTAAATCACACAGGTCTGTTTTAGACCTGGTAGACACGCAATTTGGTGGGAGAAAAATTCATTCACTTTTCAGTTCTCTTGCAGTGAATTACACTGTATCATAGTGTAGAACATTGTAAATGCCTCAAGAATCAGTTCTTCTTTCCTTTTAAGATACAGTTTTGCAAGCCAAATGTATTGATTAAAGAAATGGAAGCCAAAAGAGATAGAAAATTGCAAATACATTTCATATAAAATGTTTTATTGTTAGACACCGTAATACACTTTATTTAACACAGAAGGTAAATATATGGGAGTTAATATATTTGAGAAAGAATTAAACATAGCATCACAAAATTCCTAGGGTAAACTAAATATCTTCCACTCTTATTTGAGGTGATAAGGGTATGTGTTCTTGTTATTACTATTAATATAAATTATCAGACTGATTATTTTGTTTGGTTGTTTGGGTAAAAGTAACAAAATAAAGTTGAAAAAATGTTTTTTATTAGAAAATGGTTTTTATTGAGAGTTAAATACCCTCCAGTATAAACAGGAATGTAATTTCTATTATGGTAATATTCATTAATCTTTCATTTTCATCCTATATAGAGTATTTATATGTATTATAATTTTATTGTCAGTTAAATATTAGAATTAGAAGACATGAAAACTCTTGTAGAAAAAATTGTAGTTTGAAATTTCCATGTATATATTTGTGTTGTGTGTGTGTGTGTGAAATTGCTATTTTATAGGGGTTCTTTACCCCCTAGTTACTTATAAGCTCAAGCTTATAGCTGTGTATTAACAGGTAACTCTTTTTGGCTTGTTTCACAAAAAAATAGACTGTGAAGGATATTCAACTACTAATAGTTTTCTTACAAACTATAGATGTTGAGGTGTCAAAAATTATTTTATACTTCAAAATCTTGGTTTCAATTATTGTGGAAATGGACAGGTATGGTACTAGTAACCACCCATCAGAATTGGGGAGATTAAGATACAGATGGTTCCAGAAACTCCAGGCAAACATTTAAAAAAAAAATCCACATCTTCTGTAAGTGAGTTGCCTGTTGTATTTCTAAGAGTATATAGCTGTTGCCTTTCAATTTTTAATAAGTGGTTTGGGAACCACTGTGGATAGCATGATGAAATAAAGAGGGACAAGGGAAGTAGCAAGTTGTTGGTCACATTTCTATTTTTGTAAAATGCTATTAAATTTTGTCTGCTTGGAAGTAATCTGGTATATTAGTAAAGCAAGTTATGACAGTTTTTGATGGTCTTAATGACTGAAAAAATTTGTGCTTTAAAAAGTTTGCTAGGGAGCTGTTTGCTTTAAGAACTTGGAATGCATCATATTTTTTCCTTACACTTTTCTTTCATTCTTTATAAAATATACTGGATATAACAAAAGTTCATTTATTATACTAAAACATCTGCTTAAAAATAAAGTTTTAGATATATTTATACTTCTGTATAATTATAAAGAATACTTATAATTATATAGTATTATATATATGTATTTTATGTAATTATAATAAATAATTATAATTATATATAGTATTCTGCCCTATAAATTTAATGATTCTTCTCTGTTTATGCTGCTCTGTTTATGCAAATGCACAAAGTTAATAATTATTTTGCTAAATATTTGCTGGTTCTGTTTCTATTCATGCTAGCTTTAGGTAGCGAGAGAGGTCCTCATATCTCAGGGTGGGTAAAAATTTTACCACTAAAATATTTATGTATCTTTCAGGTGTAATTTTTTTTCATCACAGATGCAATCAAGTTATAATTTTGATTTAGTTTTTAAACTATCTCTATTTGCCATGTTACCTGTAGACTGTTATTAAATTACAACTGTTAAATGTTTTTTATAGAAAGAACCCATTCATATTATGTAGTGTTCACTTTTAGGAAACTGCAAACATTTTCCTATTTAAATTTTAAAATTCAAAAGTTGAGGTTTTTTTCTACAATTGTATTGTACTTAATTTGGCTCACTTATGCAGCTATAGATATTCCACTGGAAACCTGTACAATTGCAGAATTGGCATGGCTTTGAATTTGCATTTTGCCTCACCCTCCTCCTGACACCTGCCATCCTTTCACAGTAACTAACTGATGCATATTTTAAATATTAGTGGAAAAATATGTTATCTTCTTTAAGCCTTGCATTAAAATATGATATTCCTAAAATTAATAACTCTTTAACTATTTGATTATTCTTCTAATGTTTCTAACTCTTAATAACTTCATATGCTGAAACACAAACCAGTCACTATTAAAGGCAGGCTGTAGCCAAACTATTGCATGTGTGATTTTGAAAGTCTGTATTAGCACTTGCTGTAATTCATTTGTGGTATTATAATTTAAGTTACAATAACTCTACTTAAGTACAAATACTCTACTTTATATTACCTATGATCACATTTGTTTTGATTGGGTGGTTCAGAGTAATAATTTCAGGCAAACTGAATTCTATCACAGATTGATTCAGTCCAGACATTCAAAAACAATAGGGGGATTTTAAGTCTTTGGATTTATTGAGATAATTAACCTTTATTGTTAAACTTATCATGTGTGTAAATTATGTTGCACATTCAGCAGTTTTTATAATAGCTGTACTCTCATTGAAAAAAACAATCCTTCAATAGCACCACAGGCTGTTCAGGGAGTGATCGAGTAATGGTCTCCCTTAGAGGTGCTCTACCGGTCTCTAACCAAATAGTCATGCTGCCGGTTCCTACAGACTGATGCCTGAGCATTCTGCACCCAGGGCCCTCTGTCATAGCTTCTTACTCAGTCCTCCGAAGTCTTTCTTAGAACGACCTCTTGTGCCTATGTATTATTTCATGGGCTGCTCTTCTCTTCCTTTATGGGTTTCTCTGCATCATTCCAAATTTCAAATATTTGAGGAATCCATATCTCCGTTTTCAAAACTTTTATCATCTCTGTTCACAACTGCCCCTTGGTCTACATGCTTTCCACTGAGTCAGAACATCAATGATAATCAAGTTCCCATACTGTCCATTTTATAATGCATTTCTCAAGCGCTAGGCTTATTGAAACAGAAAATGTTTGACTTAGATAAGATTAATTTGTAATAGAATATTATGTAATAATATATTAAGTTGCTAGATAAAGAATTTTTGATGGATATTCTGTAACCTAAAATAGCAAAACCTTGTGTTTACATTCGGCTTTGCATTTCTCGCTTGTGGGCCATCTATCACCCTTTACACATGCATGCACTTGGTGATACTAGGCATGACCTTGGAAGAGAATAGAGAATTCTGTGTGCATGGTAAAATGAAAATCATTCTTTGTTAGCCACTGAAGAATAAAGTATGTTGATTTATTTAGTACTTTCAGAATTCTAGAATGAATGAAAATTCTTGGCTTCCTCATGCATTTTCACCATGAATTATCTTCACTTCAGAATCTCAGTTAGCCATGGAAGTTAGGGAAGTTCAAATGATACTTTTATATTTTTCTTTCCAGAGCTACCAAAATAATATATTCATTCATATTGTAGATGGCCGGCGCCGCGGCTCACTAGGCTAATCCTCCGCCTATCGGCGCCGGCACACCGGGTTCTAGTCCCGGTCGGGGCGCCGGATTCTGTCCCGGTTGCCCCTCTTCCAGGCCAGCCCTCTGCTGTGGCCAGGGAGTGCAGTGGAGGATGGCCCAGGTGCTTGGGCCCTGCACCCCATGGGAGACCAGGAAAAGCACCTGGCTCCTGGCTCCTGCCATCGGATCAGCGCGGTGCGCCGGCTGCAGCGCGCCGGCCGCGGCGGCCATTGGAGGGTGAACCAACGGCAAAGGAAGACCTTTCTCTCTGTCTCTCTCTCTCACTGTCCACTCTGCCTGTCAAAAAAATAAAAATAAAAAAAAATAAATAATATATTCATTCATATTGTAGAAATTATTTCATTTATTTGATTGTCTAATTTACAAACAAATAATGTATTGCATGAAAATTTTGAACATCAGTTCCAAATACTCAAATATGCATTCTGAGTATATAAATTCTTCCTAAAATTAAAATTTCACCAAATCTGACTAAGGTAAATGTTTTTAGCTTACTTTACAGTTTTGAAAATAGCCTATGAATAAATAATTCCAAGTATAAAAAATTACTGACAATTAAATAGCTTATTATATGTTTTTATCCATTTATACTAAACAAAATCATCTTTGTAAGATTACTTATTTTAAAATTGTAATAATACTTAAAGGAATCTTGAAGATGACTATATACATTGATCTACATTTTATAAGTATATAATTGAAGGATCAGATAAAACCCTTCATGGTAAAACCATATAAATTTAATACTTCATATTTATGTTCAAGGTTCAAAATCAAAAATACTTTGAAATTATGAGCTAATGAAGTTTTTACAGTATTGATGAAAATTACACTAAAGAGAAATGAATTATATCTAAGATAGATGTATTTTAATTAACATGTGACCACATGAATATTATTCTGATTATACATTCCCACTTTAGTCTCTAAATAATTGAGACTCATTCTGGTTTTTTGATCCTTTGTTAACTAGAATGGGTGTAATGGAATATGGACACCTAATGAATCATATGAAATAATTTTTCATTCTCTTGTAAAATTATATATTTAATTTGTGGTATAAATAATAGAATTGAAATAAGAGAATTTACTCTTGAATGCCTAAGTGATGATTTTGATTGCATTGCCTTAGACTGACATTAAATCACTGAGGTGAAAAGGGAAAACTTACTAATTAAAGCTTAAAAAGGTCTCCTACAGTATTTTTCACTTTGTGTTTCTATGAGGGTGCAAACTGTTGAAATCTTTACTTAATAATGCTAAACTGATCTTCTGTATATAAAGAGAATTGAAAATGAATCTTGATGTGAATGGAAGGGGGGAGGGAGAGGGAAAGGGGAGGGTTGCGGGTGGGAGGGAAGTTGTGTGTGGGGGAGCCATTGTGATCCATAAGCTGTACTTTGGAATAAATAAAAGTTAAAAAAAAAAAAAAAGTCTCCTAGCCTGCATCCCAAATCAATCAACTGTTCTTCAGTATATCATAACTAAATCTGTAGCAGACCAGAAGACATAAAATTAAAAGTTAGGATTTTTTTAAATAGTATAATATTAATTATGACTAGATGGTCAGTTGGGCAAGTAATATATTAAAATTCAAGAACATACAGTCTAGTGAATTTTGTCATGACTTGACTAAGGTCGATTAGTTGTCAATAAAACCAAAAGGAAACCCACATTCCATATTGTTCTGTTGCAAATAAGCATGATTGCTGAGATTACAACATTCTCCCTTAGATAGGATTGACTGATAAAGTGCATCAGGTAGAAACAATTTCATTATAACCTCAGCTCTTTAGTGACTTCTAATAACTATATAGAAAGAGTAATTTTCATAGAACTGAATGACTAGAAAATTGTTCAATGAGTATAAATAATTAGAAGAAATAATAGAATATATGATCTTGTCCCAAGAAGCTTTTCAAACTTTTGTATACACAAATGACATGTTGCAGTTGTTAAAAAAAAAATACAGTGTGATATGGGAGGTCAGAGGTGGGAATTTCTTGCTTGTTCTTAGAAGCACACTATGAGGAGAAAGCATTTATACTCTTATTTATTATAGTCCTTCTTTATTCACATCTCTAAAATAAGTCTCTGGTAAAGTAACATGAACTTTTATAAACCTCTGTTTATCTATTATCTACCTATGCATCTGTCAGCATTGCAAGAAAGTATAACATAAACGAAGACATTTGAGACTATAACTGGACAGATAATGTTGGCTTATTCTGTTTGAGTTTTGGTATCGGCCTCAGATTGATTGTTTTTAAGCCTTGGGTTTCATTCCTAATACCAACAGAGAACAACTTCCATCTTTTCTCAGCTTCTGAAGCACTCAGGTTATACTTGCTTTAAGAAGATTTCGACTTTGAAACACTTTAATATTATTTCTGATATCATAAAAGAAATATTTCACCTTTATCAATTCTTCCAGTTTGTGATGAACACTGAAGAAATATCTTGCACAATCCCCTATATCACATAAAATGCCAACAGAGATAAATCAGTTTTATATGTACCCAGAGAAAGGAGAGAGAGACTATCCAAATGGGGAAATCATAAAATACCTTGTGAAGGAGATAGAGAAAGGGCAATCTGGGAAAACAAACATTTGACTGTTATATTTATGAGAAAGTGACATTTGTAAGAGTGGATTTAGGATTAGGTTTCACAATAGGGAAGACATGATGTTTTGGGAGGAGCTAACATCATACTCAAAGTGTAGGATGTATTTGCAGAGTCAAATTATTAAAAATTCTCTGCAAAAATATTAGAAGGCTAAAATTGTAGTTTAAAATGTTGTAATGGGTTTTGAATACAAGATTGAGGAGTTCGTACTTAATTTAGTGGACAGAAAGTCACTATTAACTTTTTTTTTTTTTAAACTTTTATTTAATGAATATACGTTTCCAAAGTACGAATAATGGATTACTATGGCTTCCCCCCCATACCGTCCCTCCCACCCACAACCCTCCCCTTTCCCACTCCCTCTCCCCTTCCATTCACATCAAGATTCATTTTCGATTATCTTAATATACAGAAGATCAGCTTAGTATACATTAAGTAAGGATTTCAACAGTTTGCTCCCACACAGAAACATAAAGTGAAAAATAATAGATGATTTTTTTTAATGATGATGAAATCAGATCAGACCTATTGTCATGTTTAATCCCAGTGAGAGTCAAGTTGGGAGTTGATAGTTTCTTTTCTTTTCTTTTTTTTTTTTTTTTTTTTTTACAGAGGATCAGTTTAGTATGCATTAAGTAAAGATTTCAACAGTTTGCACCCCCATAGAAACACAAAGTGCAATATATTATTTGAGTACTCGTTATAGCATTAAATCTCAATGCACAGCACATTAAGGACAGAGATCCTACATGAGGAGTAAGTGCACAGTGACTCCTGTTGTTGACTACCAATTGACACTCCTGTCTATGGCATCAGTAATCTCCCTATACTCCAGTCATGAGTTTCCAAGGCTATGGAAGCCCCTTGAGTTCTCCGACTCTTATCTTGTTTAGACAAGGTCATAGTCAAAGTGGAGGTTCTCTCCTCCCTTCAGAGAAAGGTACCTCCTTCTTTGAAGACCTGTTCTTTCCACTGAGATCTCACTCACAGAGATCTTTTGCCAGAGTGTCTTGGCTTTCCATGCCTGAAATACTCTCATGAGCTTTTCAGCCAGCTCCGAGTGCCTTTAGGGCTGATTCTGAGGCCAGAGTGCTATTTAGGGCATCTGCCATTCTATGAGTCTGCTGAGTATCTCACTTCCCATGTTGGATCACTCTCCCCTTTTAACTTTTTTTATTTTGTTTGGATGTGTAGTTATTTTTAGTAGCATTATAGTGAACTGTTTAGTAGGATAAATGTGTAAAATACAATTATATGTACAAATAACTTACCACCTACTTTGCACAAGTAGTTGTACTGTACCTTGATTTTTTTAAAGACTTGTGTAATAACAATACTCTCCAGGTAGTCTTGTTGTGAAGACTAAATGACTTCATACATAGCATTACAAGGCTGCCCACATCAACTGTACTTGTTCTCAGAAAAGAAAATAATTTGGTAAAATAGGTTTACAAAGTTTTCTTTAAAATCTTCTATTATTGGCAAGAAACAAATATTTGAGGAAACAGGTGATGTTATAATCAGAGATAGAAACAGAGATTGTAGAGGTAAAGGTAGAATTCAGATGATTTGAGATAGAAATATCCCTGTTTGCTCTTCTGTGAACACATCTCACATTACAGAGAACTTATCACAATCATGATTTTTATGAAAATCGTAGTTCAACCACCAAATCACACATCCCTATACATTTAATTGCTTGGCTTTGCCAGTTTTTGAACTTTATGTAAATCAAATCCTATAATCTATCATCTGTATCATTATGTGATGTACTGCTTTAGCTAAATAGTTTGTTTCTGGGGTTCAGTATGCTGAAAGTTACATCAGTAGTCATTATTTTTTCCCTGAAATGTAGTATCATCATTTTTGAATATACAGTCTCCTTATTTATCATGACATCAATGAATAGTGGTATTGATATCAGTTTGGGGGTGTTGTGAGCGATGCTGTTGTGAACTATCTTGAGCCTATCTCTTGCTGCACATATTCAAGAACATTTGCAGTGTCTTCACACAGACCAGACGTATGTTCAGCTTTACTAGGTAACGTCAAACTAGTTCTCAACGCATTCATACAATTTCTATTCTCCACAGAGCTAAATAAGAGTTACTGTTGCCCTTCCTCATTGCAACAAGTTTGTTCAATTTCAGTATTTTTATAATCATCCAGAGATGTAGGTGAAACAATGTATTATTCTGCATTAACTCCTGTTTCCTAGAAAATTAATTGAATTGCACTTTTTTCATAAGAATATGACCAATTTTTTTTGTTTTTATTTTTAATTAATATTTCATGATAGTGCCCATTTATGGTATACAGTGTATTCAATTTATGTGTACAATGTATAATGATCAAATCAGAGTTATTAGCACTCCAATATTCTTTAACATCATTTTCTTTTGAAGAGGACCCTTCAATTTCTGTCTTCTAGTTCTTCATAAAATATGTAATAAATTATTGTAAATTGTAATCACTCTGTAGTGCAATAGCACACTGGAACGCATTCCTCCCATCTAACTGCATTTTTGTCAATTTTGCTCCTCCAATGGAAACTTTCTTTCTTGTCTGTAGTCCTTTTATCCTTTCTATCAAGTTATTTGCCTTCTTTGGATGCTCTCAATGCCAAAAGTCAACTTCTGTGATCCACTCACCACTTTCAGTTATGATCACTGGGAAAGGCAGGAGGGGTTCTGGAATTTGTCTTCCTACTGAATCAGTTTTCAAGATAATGAATGGTCCTTTTTTTTCTCAAAACATGACCAACTCTTTTATATGTGTTTAAATAGAATCATAAGCCCAGTTTTAAATGCATTTGAAATTCTTATCATTAGTGAAATTGAGATTGTCAGGTTTTGCCAACGGGTACCTCTCCCATTTGTCTCTTGAGTCTTTTTGACATGAAAGTCTTAACTAGCTTCTTTGCTTCTTTCCTATCTCATGTAACAGGATTACCAGGTTCACTTGAACATTACTTGTTATAGACCTGAAATCAGCTCTTTTTATATGATCCTTGATTTGCTTGTAGAATTGTTATTCCTAGATAATGATCTATGCGCTAGAGATGATTCTTAAAGCTGCAAGTGATAAAGGAAATAAACATTTCATAACTGCTTATTTGCTTTGTTATGTATTAGATATAACTCATTGTCAGAATAATAAAATAAAATCCCCCCTTCCTATTATGATCACTAAAATGAAACAATTTTATATATTTTATCTAAATTCTCTCCTCATTTTTATGGCTATACTAGAAATAGATATAGACATAGACTGAGATTTGTAGATATCATTAGGCCACTTGTCATACATGCTTAATTCTTATTTTTCTAGTAATTGTATATTTAATACTCACTACTAACTATTAGGTCAGTATCCATCTGGAACATTTCTGACGAATGGATCATAGGTAGAATACTTCACAAATTCATTCATAATGATGAAAGTTTCTGTCCCTCTTATTTGAAATGAAATTTTGCCAAATAAAAAAATTTGTCTCACATTTTCTTCCGTAGCATTTCTTCAGAAAGCATTGCTGGCAAAATGTGATGATAATATAATTTTTCCCCTTATAAGTCATGCTTTCCACCCCCACCCCGTGCTGAAAGATGCGTTTTCTTTTTCTTTGAAGTCCAATAATTTCACTAGAAAGTGTCTTTCTGATGGTAGCTCTGAGTTATTCTTAAATGCACAGTGTACTTTTTCCATATATAACTGCAAATCTCTTTTCTAGGAGGCATTTGTTGATTTAAAGTTTAAAATAATTGGTTCTCTTCCATTTATTTTTAAGCAACTTCTAATATGTATTTGTTGAATTTTCTGTGCTTACCTTAAATATTTTCACACGTTGATTTTAAATGCCTCTCAAATTCTTTTTGCTTGTTAACATTCATCTCCTAATCATTTTCATTATCTTCTGGTTGCCTTAAAGTAGTATTAACATTTTTTCTTTACTTTCATAGTTCTTCTAGTTTGTATTTATTATTAAGTTTTATTTATTTACTTTAAAGACAGGGAAGAATGGAGATAGGGAGGGAGGAAGGAAGAGAGAGACAGACAGAGAGAGAGAGAGCCAGAGAGAGCCAGAGAGAGAGAGAGCCCACTGGTATCCACTGGTTCACTCCCCAAATGCCTGTAGCAGCCACAAACTAAGCCAGGCTTAAGCTAGAAGCCAGGGAGCCAATCTGGGTCTCCAACTACTCATGTTAGCAACTGCAACCTCTCAGAGTGCATGCTGGGAGCTGGAATCAGTATGAGAGCTGGGACTCACACTCAGGCATTCACTTCAGTATAGGATGTGGGTGTCCTAAGAGGCAGGTTAACTGTTGTACCAATCACCCACCCCTGTACTGATTTTTAAACCAATTTTTACTCTTCGAGCTATTTTTTTAATTCTTCCAATTCTGCTTCATTTGGTGTCTTATATCTCTTCCTTACTGTTTTATGGCTCACTTTGTATGATAACTTACATTTTTTATTTTGGTGCGTTTTCTTTGGAGGAATCAAACAGAATATGCTACTTTCCCTATAACTTCTGTAGTGTTTGTTCACAAAACTTTCTTGTTGCTTATTTCGGTGTTAATTTAATTTTCCTAATTCTTTAGGAAAGATTTATCCAGATGGGTCTCCTAAATATACTGAGTTTTGTTGTTTCATAGAATATTAGAAAAAAATGTGGCCATGAGTTTTTTGTGATGTTCTGGCTCCATTTCTCTCTCCTGTGCTTATCCCTATCTTCTCTTTCCTAACTTTTGATTGTCTTTGTCCCACTAACTTTATTTTTATTCTACTTCCATTAGTTTCTCTTCGGTACCCCTGAGTGGTCAGGAAGACTTGGCAGATTTCCTTGTAATAGATTTCAAAAAATCAAGCCCTTTTATAAAGCTTTCTATCACTGCCCTTGCATCTACTTGCTGTTAGTGTGGGGCATAACTTCTGATAATTCTGTGCTGAGTTTTGTTTTAAGTAGTTTCCATGTGCTTTTGGTTTTGCTATCAAGTTATTCTGTTTTGTGTGGAGATTTAAGAATGTCCAAAAGCTGTACTATAACTATCACTGTTATCTAACCTGAATCTCCCAGATCATTTTAACTTTTGACGCAAACAGAATGTGACAGTAATGGAGGATGTTCCTCTTATTCTTTGGCACTGTCGCCCTCACATCCATAACCATAAATAGTTTAACATTAAGTAGCAATGATATAATACTTCATCTGTCTCCAATTGTCTTTCTGCTAATGAAATAGACTTTATTTATTACTATAATTAATGCATGAATAAAACATATTGCATTGCCTATTGTATCCAAATTTAATAAGCAGAAGCAATGATACAAACAAATCTCTCCATATATGTGATCGCATATTATTTAAGATTGCAAAAATTGTCCTCAAAGTGATTGAACATTCAAGTTAAAATTTCACATCTTCCAACTGTTTAAAATTTTGTACAATTTGATGTTTGAATGGTAACAAATATCTTCACTTGGTTCAGAGAAAAATAGTAGCCAATAGAATTAAATAGTAAAAAAATACATGATTCAAGACTGTTAATAGGAGTGTAATTAAACTCAATTTTCCTGAACAAGAAGGTGGGGATGATCTTTTTTTTTAAATATTTATTTATGTATTACTTAAAAGGCAAAATAGAGAGAGGAGAGATATAGAGAGCTTTTCCATCCACTGGTTCACTCTGCAGATTGTTGCAACTACCAGCATTGAACCAGGCCGAAGCCGGAAGCCAGGAGTTTCTTCCAGGTCTCCTATGTGCGTGGCAGAGGTTCAAGGACTTTGGCCATCTTCCACTGCTTTCTGAAGCACATTAGCAGGGTGCTTGATCAGAAGTGGATTTTGCAGGCATTTGGGGAGTGAAAGAGTGGTTAGAAGGTCTCTATTTTTCTGCCTTTCAAATAAAATGAGAATAAATGAAAACTAAAAACAGAAACAAAAACAAAAACAAGAAATGTACTAGAAAGCTGTGTTAGTTCATTTTTATTACTCTAACAAAATACATGAGGTTGAGAACCTCTGAAGGAAAAAGACTCACTTGGCTCAGAGTTCTCAGGGTGCAATGCAATGGCACTGGCATTAGCTCAATTCTGATAAGGGCTTTCCTGGCAGATGGATCACAATGATGGGAATGAATGTTAGAGGGAGAGATCGTATCACCAGCCAAGAGTTTCAGAAGTCAGACTCAGTATTATAACAACTTGCTCCCATAAAAACTAGTTCAGGGTCCCACAAGAACTACCTTAAACTCTTCTAAAGCTAGTACCTTAATGACCTAGGCACTTCCCACTTACCACTTCCTCATATTAAAGACCAAGCTCAAGTATAAGGGCCTTTGGATGACATACTTCATTCTACCCAAACTATTCTAGTGGCATTGATGTTAAGATGTCAATGTGATTCGGTCATCTGTGTTTGCAGACTGATGCTTATGGACATTGAACTCCTGCCTTATCACAGAGATTAGGGGATAGGGTTCCTCATTCTCTTGATGATTATCTTTCATAGTGATGATTCTAGGTCCTTGAAAAGACAAGTATGGGGTCAGTAAACCGGCAAGATGCTGAGAAGAGTTACAACTCACAGGGGCAAAGAATTGACAGTTAGAAGTTTTCCATAGTAAATGCTGACAATTGAATTTCAGAACCTTATGGGGAAGAGAAATGGACAAGTATGTTTAAAGTTTAGTCAACTTCAACTTTAAGCCTATCTTAATTGTCTGCATTTCATTGATTCTTGGTGAAGCTGATCATGCTGTTTTTAGATCATGCTTGTTTTCTTGCCAATGAATTGACTTCCTTTGCCTGTTTTAATATTTTATTATTAGATTGAAATATCTCATTTTATACTACACTAATAACATTTTCTCAGTTTATGATTTGTAGCAAATTTTCTCATTGGTTTTAATACATTGACTTTATAGTATTAAGGTGACCAAGATCTAGAAGGGTAGACAGGTAAACTTGCATAAATAAATATGTTAAAGTAACTGAAAAATATAGGCCGGCGCTGCAGCTCACTTGGCTAATCCTCCACGTGCAGCACTGGCACCCCGGATTCTATTCCTGGTTGTGGTTCCGGATTCTGTCCTGGTTGCTCCTCTTCCAGTCCAGCTCTCTGCTGTGGCCCAGGAACGCAGTGGAGGATGGCCCAAGTGCTTAGGCCCCTGCACACGCATGGGAGACCAGAAGGAAGCACCCGGCTCCTGGCTTCGGATCCATGCAGCGCGTGGGCCACAGTGCGCCAGCCGTAGCAGCCATTTGGGGGGTGAACCTATGGAAAAGGAAGACCTTTCTCTCCGTCTCTCTCTCTCACTGTCTAACTCTGCCTGTCAAAAATAAAGTAACTGAAAAATATAACAAATGGGCTAGTATGAGGCATTGAGGAAACATAAATGATCAAAAATTATCAATCCTATGAGGATTTTTCTAGAAATATTATCCTGAATATTACCTCTGACCTGGGTTTAGGATCAAAGATAACCAAATGGAAAGTAGAATAAAATTCACTCCAGACAGCATTCCCAGTCACAAATTTTCAAATATCACAGTATTTTCAGAAAAATGTATGTGTATGCTCTTCTCGGAGCACCTTCTTAAAAATTTTCATTTCCTCATTTTTTTTTTAAAGATTTAATTATTTATTTGAAAGACAGAGTTACAGAGAGAGGTAGAGACAGAGAGAGAGGTCTTCCATCCTCAGGTTCACTCCCTAGATGGCTACAATGGCCGAAGCTGCACTGCTCCGAAGCCTGGAGCCAGGAGCTTCTTCCAGGTCTCCCACGTGGGTACAGGGGCCGAAGGGCTATGGGCCATCCTCCAGTGGTTTCCCAGGCCATAGCAGAGAGCTGGATCGGAAGTGGAGCAGCCAGGTCTCGAACCAACCCAAATGGGATGCCGGTGCTTCAGGCCAAAGTGTTAACCCGCTGCACCACAATGCCGGCTGCTCATTTCCTTATTTTATTCAGTTTAAAGACAGAGTGTTCTCAGGCACTGGATTAGTACTAAATGCCTGGGATTTGGGTACTCAATTCATATCTCTTATTGGGATGGGAGGGATCCAACTACTTGGGCAATCATCTCCTACCTCTCGAGGATTGCATTAACAAGAAGCTAGAATCAGGAGTGTAGCCAGGACTTGAAACCACTCTAATGTAGGATGCAGGTGTCTGAGCAGTATCTGAAATGCTAGGCCAAATGCCGACCTCAGAGCACCATTTTTGAGGAAAAAATGATCGAAGAGGGTAGGAAAGTAGTCAGTGGCCTCTGTAATTCAGAAACCTTTATTACTGCACTTGTAAGTAGTTAGGAATTTATTCTGTAGGAAATAATGGATATACTGAACCATAAAGAACTACAAATGAAAATCCACATATTCTGGGGGTCCGGCGCTGTGGTGCAGTGGGTTAATCCTCTGCCTGCAGCACCAGCATCCCATATGGACACCGGTTCTAGTCCAGGTTGCTCCACTTCCAATGCAGCTCTCTGTTATGGCCTGGGAAAGCAGTGGAAGATGGCCCAAGTGCTTGGGCCCCTGCACCCATGTCAGAGAATGGGAAGAAGCGCCTAGTTCCTGGCTTCGGATCGGCACATTTCTAGCCATTGCTGCCATTTGGAGAATGAACCAACGGAAGGAAGACCTTTCTGTCTCTCCCTTTCACTGTATCTAACTCTGCCTCTCAAATAAAGTAAATAAAATCTTTAAAAAAAATCCACATATTCAATATATAATGCTCAGATGACATAACAAGCCTTAGTGGTATTTAGGCAACAATTTGCTCTAGATTGTTCAGTTTTCAAGTCCAAGATGGAATTTATCAACTCTCCCCAAAACAGTTTTTTGGTTGTTTTTAGTTTTCCCTTTTTAGTCAATATTTGACTTTCCCCTTACCCCCATCCTCTAAGCCAGAAACTCGGGAGTTATCTCTGATCCTCTCTTTTCCTCATTCTCCACATCAAATAAGATCCATTACATTTATTGGCAAATATCTCTTAAAAATATTCCATTTGCTATCATCACTGTCACTGTATTAGTTTAGTTTCTCAATATTTCTTGCCTGAATTGTTCTAATATGGTCATTCCCCCCCCCCCCCCGTGTGTTCCTATACTTCACATATCGAACTCTGCTGGAATAATATTTTTAGAAGACATTGTGATTCTTTGCTGAGATGTGTGGCCTCAGTGCAATATTATTCAGTAGAGAATTGTTCTTTTAAAAAGAGGGGGTCAGCTCAGTGTGGAAAGCTTAGTAAGAGATGTAGAGCAGTAGTATTTAATTATTTATTGGTTAAGATAACCAGTTTCATTTCTTCCAAAGACATAAATATACTTTTTACCAAATGAACCTGTTCTGTTAATAATTTAATCGCATTATGTATAGGTATGACCTTTTGCTTGTCTTTGTAGATTAGGTGTAATTTAATAAAATGTACGTGAGTGCTAAGCTCACCAGGAGAAAAATACTGTGTTGTCTCCCTTAGCTCACTGAAATGCGTAGTGGCACTCCACTGTTCAGGATTTCTAAAGACACATTCTTTAAATTTCAAAGATAATTAAAGTTGTTATGCTGTGTATCTGCCCATTTTGTTGCAACTTCAAGCCCATCCTTGTATAAATTGATCTGTGATCCTGCAAACTACATTCCCCAAACCCTTAACTAAATTCTCAAACTACTTGAGATTTTTAAATTTTATTTTCCAGAGGATGTTGACAGCTACTGTGCTGGTTATTTTTCTGCCAATGGTAGACCCTCAAGATAGATTAAGAAAAAAGATAGGGAAAGAACTTCTTTCCATTTTTTCACTTTTGTGGGCATTATATCCACAACAACGAATCATTCTCCTGCATTCCTACACTTTTGTCTCTTATATTGACAGATAAGTGAACCTCAAAGACACTCGTACCGATTTATTTTGCCTCTGTTATTAATCTGAGTACCCCCAATGTGGTGCCCCACAAAATTCTAAAGATCATCCACAAAGGACCACGCTCCCATTTTCCATCCTGTTTGCATTTCCTCAAGTCTCTTAAATTTAGTGAGTCTATCTCTTTTGTTTTTTGTTATCTAAGAGCGGCAGCTACTCCATGAAGTAACAAATATTCATGTTCCTCAGCATTTTATTTTTAGTGTACTTATATTTAAATGTATATGTGCCAATTCCCATGTTAAATTAACTCTAAATTTGTTTTTGTTTCCTTGAGTAAACCCTATCTGATACAGCTGGTGTTAATGATATAAAGTCAGAACCTAACCATAATTATTAGCTGAAAACCAATAAGATGTTCCTCCCAGTTTTCAAGGGGATAAAACTATTAGAATTTTCTGTAACTGAATGTACTACTGTGAAGGTTAACATCTGTTTTACCATTTCCTCTACAATTCTAGAAGAAAATAATCACATAGAAAATTAGATGAAATTAGATATTCAGGTTTGGAGATATTGAACTGAGAATAAGGGGAAATAGCTAGCTGCCTTTTGGGTAGGAAGTACTCTGGGGCATAGCCCTAGAACCAATGAGTCTTTGCTTTATTTTGGCTTTGTGCCTGGTCCACCAGAGTTGATTTGAAGCTCTGTTTCTCAATGAGACTACGATGTAAAATTGTGTCTCCAAGGGCTGACTGCTGGGACTACTTGATTTTCCATGGAGCCAGCTGTGCAAAGCTAGAAGAGTCTGAGACAGGTCTATTAATTTATAAATAAATAAATAAATAAATAACATATGGTTCCAAAAGTAGTGTACTAAACATAGTTGATTCTTGAAAACAACATCTAAATCTAGTTCCACATTCTTTTAGACTGGCAATGTTGTGATCATATTGTGAGGTACTCTAAAACCTTTCTTCAACATCCTATATGTTTTTTTTTAATCACAGATATATTTCTAAAGTGTAGTTTTATTGTTACACCCAGAACCAAAACCTTTATTAGTTCCTATGGCCCACTCAATAATATAGTTTTGGTTATGAGTTGTTTTAATCACCATAGGGTGTAAGATCTTTGAGGATAAGTCAGATAACATTGTTTTATTTTTCTTTAGAACACAGCACTATTTTTTGATAATGTAGTATACAATCTACATCAGAATTATCACTGTGCTTATTTAAAATGCTCATTGTAGAATCCTACTCAGAGCTATTTAACCAAATTTCCAGTGGCAAGGCACAGAAACTCCTATTTAACAAGTATAATAAATAATCACAATTTCCCATAAAACTTTAGAACAACTGTATCATAACCCTTATCAGAATGCCTCAACATATGAGACATTGAATGAACATGTTCTGAACTGCATGAATGGATGTGAATATAATGTGTAAGTCTCTAAGAAATGTCTTAGGTAACATGAAAAGCAATATATTCTAATGGTTGAAATAGTAACCTTAATTTTGGTCAAGAATATTATCTGGAAGTCAAAATGAATACAGCTATGCTTATATGCAAATGACTGTAGCTGAATTAAAATATAGAGCAACTTTGATAAACATAGTTCTTTTTAACAGGTAATGGTATTTGTGAATTATATAAATAACTCTTTTCTACTTTCACCTAGTGGAGACCTAAGTGGAATTTTTAAAATTTATTTTAATGTGCTGCTTTGAATAAGAATTAATAATCCCAAAGTAATTATTGACTGCTAATTTTCAACTGAAGTGTAAAACACTGAACATAGAGTGTAATTTTCAAGATTAATATGTAATGTCTCAATTTTGGAGTAGGTACATTAACACTTTGTATTGCTTGGCAGTAGTTTTTGATTGATTATGTTTGACTTCCTTTAATTTCCTCACTACCCTAATATTTTATAATTTAAAAATATAAATAATTATGTTTCAATTAAGTAATATATGAAATCAATGCCAGTTCTCTGTTTATAAATTTGCAAGGTAATATGGATTTTTTGTATCATAACACTTTACAAAGTAATTAATAGACTTTATAAGCATATTCTATAGGATCACTTTTTCCCTCTTAAATCTAAACCACATTGTAGAAATAATATGGCATTAAAATAGCATTAAGGTAATACAAATTTTGAACTCTAAATTAAATGTGATTCATTAATGGCTGCTTCTTTATATTTCCAGCCCATTAATTATCTTTTTTGTGGAAATTAAACCCTTATATCCATATCCATTTTATTCACCCATCCAGCCATATACTCATCCACCAATTAAACAGATACTTATTTGGTAGTTATTTTGTGCTAGTGCACATGGAAATTTCTATCTCTGAGGCAAAAAAAAATGGTTAATCAGGAAATTACAATGAAGTATAAATAATTTTATTTGGGAAAAGTAGATCTTATGGAAGCATATAAGAAAGACATCTAATCCAGTCTTAGGAATAATGGAAAAGTTTCTCAAAGCATTTGAAATATAATCCATCACCTAAAAAAAAAAACTTTATGAATAGGTTTATGAATGTCCAGGGAAGCAGTTATTACCAAAAAAAGGAAAGAAAAAAACAAGAACCTAATAACTAGAGAAAGCCGAGCATTCTTAGGGACCCATGTGGAATTCCAGTGTTCTGCATACAGTGTAGGCCAGGGATCAGCATATGCCAACTAATGAATCACTAACTAGTAGCATGCCATGCCAATAATCAGACCATTGATGAGATCACATTTGTTCCCTATCAAAACCTAGCAAATACCAGTTAAGAATGCAGATATATACAAGACATAAGGGTACAATATGTTGATGGTATCAATGAAATATTTTTAAAAAATTATGATGGTTTCTCTACTTCTTCAAGAGAATTTGGCTACCCCTTCATCTAATAATTCAAACTTCTGAATATATCTGTGTCATTACAATGTGGTTAGCTTATTTGTGTCCTATTTCCTCCTGGACCCTAAATTTTTAAAAATGATCAGCATTTTTGTTCATCTTTATATTCTCAGAATCAAGTATAGCAAATGAATAAAGGTGCTCAGAAAATCATTATTTTTAGTGTGTGAATATATACGTGAAAGACAATACTTTTAAATCATTACAGAGAATATATTAAAATAAAACCACACTAGAGTAAGATATAATTAATTATATAAAAATGATAAATAAATGAGGAAGTTATGACATCTATGTAAAACTCAACAAGGGTATTCATTAAATACTTCATTACTACAAGATGCATAGTATTGAAGCTAATACTATGAATTTTTTGGGTTGATTCTGCTTCAGGGTATCTTTATGTCTTTGAAGATAACTTGTCATCATTGCATAATGTTCTTACATGTAGGTTCAGCAAACACTTCTTCATATTCAGTGAACTATGGCAAAAATCCTAAGGATCTTAGAATTTCCTACTACAACAATTTATCTATTGTTATAAAATTCAAAACTAAAATATGAAAGCTGATTAAATAATCTTAAGAGCTAATTTGTATTCTAAAAACTAGATAATACTTACGGATTTATGCTCAATTCTAGTGCACAGCTCTGTTTGGGGAAGATACCCACGTATTAATATATTTAACCGTAATGGAATTTGACCATAATAGGTAATGTTGTCTGGTACAAATACATTGAGTACTTTGGCCTACGTTACATTAATCTCAGCCTATTGCAGAGCCAATATTCATAGTTAGGAAATAGGAATTCTCCCAAGAATAATGTTGGAATATCTCAGCAGATTGTGCAAAAGAAACTCTTTGCCATATTTTAAAATATTTTGGAACTCTTTTTGCATATATGGGTGAAATTGAAATTTGAAAAATAAGCTTATTGAAATAAAAGTATCTTTGGAAAGGGTATTTCTAAGTATTTGTCTTAATATCTGAACAAGTGTTTTAAAAATAAAGTTCAATTATGATTTTCATATACAACAAGGATTTATTTGGATAATACTCTTGAGATGACCATCTGGCACTTTACAATAAAGTGACAGGCTTCATAGACTTAGTACAGAGAACAATATATAAAGAAAAGTGACCTCTAATTGTGTTTCTATCACCAGTGTTCAGTGACATGGAACAAGTCTTTTATTTCAGTTGAGAATCCTACATAATCAAGTGATGATTCACAAGCCCATTTTGTTCTCAAATATTTTATCTCAAAGAACCACATATTTTTCAATTGATTGTTACTTAGATAGGTGTTGGTTATAATTGTTCTTTCTGAAAGCCATATTTACCATGAAATATGTCAGGTAGAGAACAACAGAGAAACTTCTGTGGTCAAAGGTTTATTAGTTTGAGACATCAAGGGAAACAACATACCAAAAGAACTGTATTGCAACTTAGTAAAAGGATGATGCGGTAGATTGTGTGTATTTGTCCTGCTGCTGAGTAATTACTAGGGTTAACTTCAACAGAAAAAATGCCAGTTCTGTGTGCATTTCCTTACTGGAGGGAGGGGCTATTTATCATGATAATCTCTGTTTCCAAGGTCAGCAGACAAACAATGCTGGGAAATTATTGATCTAAAACAATCATTACCATATTGTCTCACCCATGGCCTGTTTAAAAAAATGCATTGGCTTCTTTTTTAAATTTTATTTTTTATTTTAGGAAAACAAATTTTATGTATTTCATATATACAGATTTAGAAACATAGAGCTACTTCCCACTCTACCCTCCCTCCTGCCTATCCTCCCACCCTTCCTCCTCCTTCCTGTCTTATTCCCTCTTTTAATTTTATAGTTATCTACTTTCAGTATACTTTATACTCATAAGTTTAACACTACATTAAGAGTTCAAAAATAATATGAAAAAAATACTGTTCCTCAACAGTACAAAGGCTGTAACTATCATCATCAATGCTCAAAATACCATTTTTACACCTATACATTATATTTTAGTACTCTATTTTTTTCCACACATCAGAAAAATCATATTGTATTTGTCTTTTTGGGACTGGCTTATTTCACTAAATATACTTGTTGTTGCACCTTTTTTTTTTTTTTTTTTTTTGCAAAAGACTTGATTTCATTCTTTTTTATGGCTGAGTAGTATTCCATACCATATATACATATGTGTGTGTGTGTATGTGTGTGTGTGTATAATTTTCCAGTCATCAATTGATGGACATCTAGGTAAATTCCATATCTTAGCTATTGTAACTTGAGCTGCAATAAACATGGGGGTACAGATAACTCTTTTATATGTTCATATGCTAATTTCAATTCCACTGGGTAAATAACCAGTAGTGGGATTGCTGGGTCCTATGGTATTTCTATTTTCAGCTTTCTTAGGTATCTTCACACTGTCTTTCTCAATGGCTATACTAGTTTACATTCCCAACAACAGTGGATGAAGGTACCGTTTCCCGCACATCCTTGCCACCATTACAGTGTTTTGATTTATCTTTGAGAGCTATTATAACTGGGTGAAACCTCATTATGGTTGTGATTGCATTTACCTGATGGCTAATGATCCTGAGCATCCTTTCATGTGTCTTTTGGCCATTTGAATATTCTGTCTTGAAAAATGCTTGTTCAAGTCTTTTGCCCATTTCTTAACTGGAATGTTTGTTTTGTTGTTGTTGTTGAGTTTCTTGAGCTCTTAATACATGCTGGATATTAATCTTTTATCAGTTTCATAGTTTGCAGATATTTTCTCCCATTCTGTCACTTGCCTCTTCACTTTGCTGACTATTTCCTTTGTAGTGCAGAAATTCCTCAGGTTGGTGTAATCTCATTTGTCAATTTTATCTTTGATTGCCTGTGATTCTGGGGTGTTTTCCAAGAAGTATTTGCCTATGCCAATGTCCTGTAGAGTTTCCCCAATATTCTTTAGGAATTTGATGATATCAGGTTATAGATTAAGATTCTTGATCCACTTTGAGTTGATTTTTGTGTAATGTGTAAGGCAGGGGTCTTGTTTCATGCTTCTGCATGCAGAGATCCAGTTTTCCCATGACCATTTTTTGAAGAGACTGTCCTTATAAATCAGGGACTGATTTTAGCTCCTTTGCCAAAGATTAGTTGATTGTAGATTTGTGGATTTATTTCTGGCATTTCTATTTTGTTCCATTGGTCTACATGCCAATTTTCTGTGTCAGTACCAAGCTGTTTTGATTATAACTGCCCTTGTAGTATACCTTAAAATATGGTATTGTGGTGTCTCCAGCCTTGTTTGCATTGGATAAAATTGCTTTAGCTATTTGGAGTCCCTTGTGTTTCCATATGAATTTTAGCATCACTTTTTCTAGATCTGAGAATAATGTTCTTGGTATTTTGATTGCGATCACATTGAATCTATAAATTGCATTCTATAGTGTGGACATTTTGATGGTATTAATTCTTCCAATACATGAATAAGAAGATTTTTCCATTTTTTTAAAATCTATTTCATCATCATGAAAGGATGTTGTATTTTACCAAGTGCTTTCTCTGCATATATTGAAATAATCATGTTTTTATTATTCAATTTGTTAATGTGACACATCACATTTATTAATATGCAAATGTTAAACCATCCCTGCATACCAGAGATTAATCCCACTTGATCCCAGTGAATGATTTTTCTGATATGTTGTTTGATTTGATTAGCTAGTATTTTGTTGAGGATTTCTGCCTCTATGTTCATCAGGGATATTGCTCTGTAGTTCTGTTTCTGTGTTGTGTCTTTTTCTGGTTTATGAATTAAGTTGATGCTGGATTCCTAGACAGAGTTGGAAGGTTTCCCTCCATTACAATTGTTTTCAATAGCTTGAGAAGAATTGGAATTATTTCTTCCTTAAATGTCTGGTAGAATTCAGCAGTGAAGCTGTCCATCCTGGACTTTTCTTTTTTGTAGGGTCTTTATTACTGATTCATTCTCCATCTTGGTTTTTGGTCTGTTTAGGTTTTCTATGTCTTCATGACTCAATTTTGGTATGTTGTATGTGTCCAAGAATCCATCCATTTATTTTAGATTTTTCAATTTGTTGGCATATAGCTGTAGTAATTCCTGGTGATTCTTTTTATTTCTGTGGTATACATTGCTATATCTCCCTTTTCTGTTGTAAATATCAAAGTCTAAAATGAGACAATATAGTAACTTAAAAGTCTGAAATGAGGCAATATAATAACTTGAACAAACATACACACCCAAATACACCCACACATATACACACCCTACTGGGCTGAGTGAAAGAATGTCTTATTAGTAGCAGAATGTTACTTAAATGTTTCTTAAATTTTTTCCAATAGTTAAGCATGTTGTTTGTTTTACATGAAGACATCTTATATCTAAAACTTTACAATATTGATTAATCTATCCAAGGAGAGTGAAAAGTTAATTGCAATTGCCACATTGGACAGTATGAACAACTCATTGTAATCCAGTAGACTGTAACAAGTTATATCCCATGATCAATATTTGTATCACTTAGATGTTCAATATTGTCTGGGCATTGAACTTGAAAGAAAGGAGTTTTTTCTACAACAAATTCTATAAAGATTTTTATTTTATTTATTTATTTTGAAAGTCAGGGTTACAGAGCGACTGGGAGAGACTGAGAGAGAAAGAGAGATCTATCCATCTACTGGTCACTCGTCAGATGGCTGCAATGGCCAGCACCAGGCCAGGTCAAAGCCAGGATCCAGGAGCTTCATCCAGATCTCCTAAGTGGGTGTCAGGTGCTCAAATGCTTGGGTCATATTCTGCTGTTTTTCCCAGGCCATTAGCAGGGAGCTTGACCAGAAGTGGAATAGCCAGCACATGAACCAGTGCTTATGTGGGATGTTGGTGTAACAGGGGTGGCTTTAACTGCTAAGTGACAAATCCTGTCCCTCTATAAGGTTTCTAATGGAAAGAAATAGGATCAGATTGCAGGTGATATAGAAATCCAAATTTCATAGAGTTCTCCTATGAAATAGGTAAAAACAATGCAAGTAATTGAAGCTGTAATAAATAGACTTGAGATAGAACTACAATGGCAGTGTCTGTGGCTTGTCATCCACCTCATCTTTGACATGAACAGCCTCCTTCTGAATACAGAAAGGCTACATTCAGTGGTGTTTGAAGAAAAACCTGGCCATTATAGCAAGAAACACAGTTGGCAGATGAAGTCACTGGTGTTGGGGAGAAAGGTCCTAGAAGCTTCCCAGATCATAACAGACATCCTGCAGCTCCCCATGTTCAAAGAGAAGTTGGTGGAGGAGAGCCCAAGGAAGCTGAAGGAGCTGTTCCCCATTGCTGCCTTTCATGCCAGATCTTGAAAAATGGATTCCCCACCTGCAAAAGTTTAGCATTCTCTTTGAGGTTGACATAAGCTCTGGGACAGTGTACTTCGAGATGAAGACAAACAGACACAAGGAATTTTTCAGTCTATCTGATGACAGCATCCTGGGAGGTGACCCCAAGGCAAAGATTGGCAAACCAGACCCTGACTTCTTCCTTTCCTATACCAGGATGTTTGCTCTTCCTCATCCCATGGAAAAGTGTCTTGTATTAGATGACGCTCCCCACAGGGTGGAGGCAGCCATAGCTGCTGGGATGCAGGTTGGCATGATTCCTGATGGAAACTTGAGCCAAGACCTGACAAGAAAGGCAATCTTGGTGCTAAGCTCCTTGCAAGACTTCCAGTCTGAACTGTTCCCTACAAGAGAAGGAACCATGCTGCGCTAAGCCTACTGGTGTGCCCCAGCACATTGTCATAGCTTGTAAAACTGCTACAAGAATAAAAGAAATTGGAAACCTCCAAACTGCAACCTGCATAGGCATTCATCCTCTGACATTGGCTTTTTCATCCAGTGTTGGCATGGTCCATTGATTCTAAAGGATGCTTGAGCTATGACTTGACATCAGGAGGAAGACATAGTAGAGCTTGCCCGGAATGGAGATATAACTGAAATTACCATCTGAGTCATCAAGTGCATATGGTTATATGATAAAGTGAATGAACATACATTATAAGCATTCCTGTATGTGAATGTGCATAGACAAAGGTACTTCAGCATGCTCATGGAGAAACAGAATTAAAGCATGTTCATTTTACTACAAAACAACTTTGAAATCTATGTATACAAAGTGGTGTTTAAAAAGTTCACAGCAAATGTGGCCGGCACCATGGCTCCCTTGGCTAATCCTCTGCCTTTGGTGCCGGCACCCCGGGTTCCAGTCCCAGTTGCTCCTCTTCCAGTCCAGCTCTCTGCTGTGGCCAGGGAGGGCAGTGGAGAATGGCCCAAGTGCTTGGGTCCCTGCACCCACATGGGAGACTGGGAGGAAGTACCTGGGTCCTGGCTTCAGATTGGTGCAGCGCTGGCTGTAGTGGCCATTAGGGGGTGAACCAACAGAAGGAAGACCTTTCTCTCTGTCTCTCTCTCACTGTCTATAACTCTCTCTCTGTCTCTCTCTCTCACTGTCTAACTATGCCTGTGAAAAAAATTTTTAAAAAATTTTTAAAAAAGTTCACAGCAAATGTATATTGTGGAAAACCTGCATCTGGATTTCAAGATTGTTTGCAAGGAAATAAAAATCTTGGGGCCAGTGCTATAGCATAGCAGGTAAAGCCACCTGCAGTGCCGGCATCCCATATGGGCACTGGTTCTATTCCCGGCTTCTCCACTTCTGATCCAGCTCTCTCCTGAGGTCTGGGAAAGCAGTAGAAGATGGCCCAAGTGCTTGTGCCCCTGAACCCTCCTGGCAGACCTGGCATAAGAAGCTCCTGGCTCCTGGGTTCAGATCAGTGCAACTCTGGCCATTGCAGCCAATTGGGGAGTGAACCAGAGGATAGAAGACTCCTCTCTCTCTCTCTCTCTCTTCTCTCTCGTTCTCTCTGCAACTCTTTCAAATAAGTAAATAAATTTTTAAAAAATTAAACATATTTTATTTCCATTTCCCTACAAATTCTTTGAAGTACCCTCCTATGTTTTATGTATATATTGATAGACACATGCATGTTTAAATATATATTTTCTAAGATAATATGAAGTGATATTTATGTTCATTTCTTTTTCATTTTAGTTTTCTGAGCATTGTATAGAAAATGCAAACTGTGTATGCACATATATCTATGTACATGCATGTACATATAGAATGTACTTGTATATCCTTGTTACACACTGCTTCATGTTCTTCCATGTTGATGTTAACTCCACAGTGACTGATGATTAGAAAGGGAAATTCTCTCTGCTCTGTCCCTGGAGTGGGAAAGCTATGTTATGGATGAGCCTTAAAAATAATTCTAATTACCTAGCATTAAAATTTTGTGCCCTCATAACATTTCTTTGGATGAGTATTCAGTGAGAAGCTCTGGGTTATGCCACTTGCAATTTCTTTTTAGTCTGAATGTTCCTATAACATGTGTCTTGTATCTATATCCTATCTACATTAGAGAATGACTCCTACCTCAGAAAAATCATATCTCTCCTTCAAGAATATTGCCTTTCTCCCTTTTTTAGATAGAAATATAATTTAAGAATCTTTACTTGGTAAGACCAAGAGCCACAGCACACTCTTGAAATAATTTTTTGGACTTAGGACTCTTGTCATTAACCCCTTTTGTGGATTTACTCAACCTCTTGAATGTGTCTATAAGTTGGCAGACAAAACTTGTGAACCATGTTGAAGTGGAGAATAAAGAAAAGAGCCTGTCCTAGCATAGCACGTTCTTCCATGTGGTCACTGCCTTTTATTGGACTTGAGCTATTTTGCAACTCTGTAAATTATAGAAAACCCTTGGTAATGCATGTGATGGATCACTGTGTATTGATGAGTGCCTCTCATTGTTGACCAATGTTTACATCAGTTTAACAAGTTCCTTTGAGCATCCTGGTTGCTTGTGCGTGTATCTGCTCTTAGAATTCTGTTTCCAACCAAATATAACATCTAACTACTTCCTTCACAAATTGATTCACTTAAATAAACTCTTTTCCACATGTTCATGTAATGTTTGTGTGGGTGTCATGATTTTACCTTTTTTTTTTTAAAGAAATCCTCTAATGTAAAATCTAAATGTGACTCATTAACTTTTTAAAATTCCAAAACAGTACTCAATTGTAAAATGTTGTTTATATATTTCAAGTGAACCATGCTATCCTTGGATACAGCAAATAAAGGCTCTTGATGAAATAGAATAAAATAAAAAGGAAAGAAAGAAAAAAGAGAGAATGGGGGAAAAATCCAAGGAACAGAACAGAAATAACAATACCTGAATAACTAAATAATGATGTCTATTTCCGCCTGTAAGTAAATGATTTTAAAACATGTAACAAGAATTGGGACTGAAGGCAATAGAAAATAAATTCCAATTTAAAAGGTTCTGACATACAGAAACAGGTGGTAGCTTTGGTAGGTTAAAGGCTAAGTTTAATGCCCGCCAACTTACTGTTAGTCACAGCCCTGCCTGTAGACACAAAACTTTCCAAAAACCACTCTGCTTTCATGTGAATCATATAGGTTATCAGAACCCCAAGGCTTTAAGGTCAACTGTTTTAAATTGACTTTTTTGTTCAATGTGATTTTATTAATTTTAGTTCAATTTAAGGTTTACTGTCAACTTGCTACCAAGAAATACCAGCCAGCCAAACAATACAGTTTTTGTCTCACACTTGACGTACAAGTAGAACATGGTTGGGTCCAACAAGGAGGTTTAAACCTTGGGCTATTCCATTGCCTCTTGGTATGAGAGTAAGCTAATGGGATTAACTGTCACTTGATGAGGGTGAAGGTTGATTCAACTGATTTGTGTCTCAAGGTTGGCTGTCTTTTCTTCTGTCCAATTATAGTCCTGATTAGGAGCTGCTAGTTCCATTAAGGAAGGCTTATTCTTGGAGAAGTCTTCTATTTGGCAAAGGACACAAGTAACAGTGCCTTCAAATTGAACCTCCAAATGCCCCCTTCCCTTAAGTATCTTCAATATCTATTTCTAAAGAATCTACATTCTAAATGACCTTGAAGTAACTTTGAAGTTTAGTAATTAACATTCCCTCATGATCCACTTCCTGTCTTCAGAAAATATTTCTTTTTGTCTTAGTCATCTGCTTTTATTTGAAGGACAGTTTACTAATAAACTACTAAAAGAGAACAAGAAAGAGGAGTCATTAAAATAAGACATTAGCATTTGAAAGATAAATTTTGGATACTATAAACCTTTACCTATAGAAGGAATTTGCCTTTCATTTAGCATTAGCCTTTCATTCTACAAACTTTTTAGGATGATGAAACATATAAAATTTATAATCATTAGTCTATGGTGTTTTCTTTTCTGTTTCCTTACCTGCTCAATAAAACTTGGGGTAGGTGTTTACATAGCAAATTAGATACTCTCATCCCCCATCTGAGACCATGGACTTGATCCCCAGTCTGGTTCCAGATAACAGCTTCCTGCTAATACACACATGGGAGATAGCAGGTGGTGGTTCAAGTAGTTGGGTTTCTAGCACTCTTTCATGTAGGAGGACCTTGGTTCAGTTCCGAGCTCTTTGTTGTGGGCATATTAAAGATTTATTTATTTACTTGAAAGTCAGAGTTACACAGAGAAGGAGAGGCAGAGGGGTGGAGAGAGGGAAAGAGAGAGGTCTTCTATCCGCTGGTTCACTTCTCAGTTGGCCTCAACAGCCGGAGCTGTGCTGATCTGAAGCCAGGAGCCAGGAGCTTCTTCCTGATCTCCCACGTGGCTGCAGGGGCCCAAGGACTTGGGCCATCTCCTACTGCGTTCCCAAACCATAGCAGAGAGCTGGATCAGAAGTGAAACAGCTGGGACTTACACTGTGGGATGTCGGCACTGCAAGCGGCGACTTTACCCACTACACCATAGCATCGGCCCCAAGAACCAGTATTTTTAAAAAGACATAAATAAGAGTATTAAGTAACAGTTGCAAAGTAAAAGAGAAAATATATTTTATTTTGTGAAATAACATAGCTGTTCCCAGTGGGAACAGTAAAGCATCTTATTATGCAGAAACACATTCACCTTATTTATTTGATTGAAGCATTGGATGTTTAGAACTCTGTTGTGGATACTCTTCAGCATTTAAGGTTTGTGTATAAGCTTGGCTGAAGATATTTTCCTTGATTTAATATATTACTTTTAAATATATTTTTAAGGATTATTTATTTCTTAATTTGAAAGAGCAACAGAGAGAGAGAGAGAGAGAGAGAAGAAAAAGGAGGAGGAGGAGAGAGAGAGAGGGAGAGAGAGAGAGAAAGAATCTTACATTCACAAGTCCATTCCCCAAAATGGCTACAACAACTAGAGCTAGACCAGACTGAAACTAGGAACTCTATCCTTGTCTTACAGGCATTGCAGGAACCCAAGTGTTTGAACCATCATCCGCTATCTCCCCAGGAGAGTTAGTAGGTAGTTGAATCAAAAGCAGAGCAGCCAGGACTTGAATTGGCATTCCACTATGGGATTCTAGTGGCTTATACCACTGTACCACATTTGCTGCTATCTCATGTTAAATATTTTTAATGACATGTTTCTTCTAGTACTTATTATTTTTGTATCCAGTCAACAATATTAATTATAAAATGGATAATATCAAGAGAAATTTTACAAATTTTACCCCTATAAGAATATTTCTGGGAAAATTATTTAATACAAGCAGTTAGGTATGCTGAATTTGCTCCTTGCTAAATCTGACATTTAGAGGACTATCTGTTTTAACATATATGGAAAATTTTAACCAAAAAATTACATTTTTTCTTTTGCTGATTACTTGCTCTAGTTTCCATGTTTATATTTCAAATTATGTATTGAATATCTTTATTTTAAATTTATTTTATTTATTTGAAAGAGTTACAGAGAGAGGTAGAGCCAGAGAGAGAGAGAAAGAGAAGTCTTCCTTCTGCTAATTCACTCCCCAAATGACCACAACGCCCAGAGCTGAAGCTGATCCAAAGCCTGGAGCTTCCTCTGGGTCTCCCAAAAGGGTACAGGGGCCCAAGGAGTTGGGCCATCTTCTACTGCCTTCCCAGGCCATAGCAGAGAGCTGGATCAGAAGTAGAGCAGTCAGAACTGCAACCGGTGCCCATACGGGATGCTGGCACTACAGGCTGGGGCTTTAACCCTCTGCACCATAGTGCCAGCCCTTAAAAATCTTAGTTTTGAATTTCTAGTGCCCTGAAAATTTAAAGCATAAAATCATTTAAACAGTGGTAGTGGTTATTCATTTAAGTATATTATCAAGGATTTATTTTCCAATGATGTTAATTATATTTCTTGTAAGACACAACTTCCTCTAACTACAAAAGCTAGATTTTCTATTAATATTGAATACTTGACTACTAACCATTCCACAACTTCACAAGCTCACAGTTTCCACAAGAAAAAGTTATTCTTAAACATCAGAATTCTCAATATCTACTGATGAATTGTTTTTCTGTATTTTCCTTGTAAGTAAGAAAAGATGGAATGTACATGTATTATGGAGGAAATTAGTAAGAACATTCACATTATAAAATTCATGAGTCTTTCATTTGATGGAGACAGAGAGAGATATCTTCCATCTGCTGGTTCACCCCCCTAATACCTGTGATGTCTGGCTTCCTGCTGTGAACTAAGAACTCAGTCTAGGTCTCCCATGTTAGCAGCAGGGACTCAACTACTTGAGCCAGCACTGCTACTTTCCTGAATTCATACTAACAGAAAGCAGGAATCGGCAGTAGAACTGAGACTCAAGTCCAGGTACGCCAGGTGGTGTTCTGGCTGCTGTGTCAAATGCTTGTCGCTATGTAATATTTAGAAGTCTGCTAGTCCTAACTTTAGGAGCTACATTTTTTTAAACTTTCATTTAATGAATATAAATTTCCAAAGTACAGCTTATAGATTACAATTACAATGGCTTCCTCCCCATAACGTCCCTTCCACCCGCAACCCTCCCCTCTCCCACTCCCTCTCCCCTTCCATTCACATCAAGATTCATTTTCGATTCTCTTTATATACAGAAGATCAGTTTATCATACATTAAGTAAAGATTTCAACAGTTTGCTCCCACACAGAAACATAAAGTGAAAAATACTGTTTGAGTACTAGTTATAGCATTAAATCACAATGTACAGCACATTAAGGACAGAGATCCTACATGAGGAGTTAGTGCACACGTGACTCCTGCTTGTTGACTTAACAAATTGACACTCTTGTTTATGGCCTCAGTAATCAACCTAGGCTCTTGTCATGAGCTGCCAAGGCTATGGAAGCTCCCTGAGTTCACCGACTCTGATCATATTTAGAGAAGGCCATGGTCAAAGTGGAAGTTCTCTCCTCCCTTCAGAGAAAGGTACCTCCTTTTTTAAGGCTTGGTAAATATCTTTTATGATTACCTCCTCCCCCAGTTGGTTGTTCTTCATATACTAAGGTAGAAGCTACACCATACCTATTCTATTCTTTGCAAATATTTTACCAATATTTTAATTCTCTACCTACCTACCCATTAGATAGGTCCTTCCTCAACTGTATTCCACAGATATTCACTTCTGCCTCCATTCTTATTCTGTTACTATGCAATAGAAGTGCTTTATCTTGTATCTAGGACCACTTCAGTTCTCTGTCACCCCCAAATGTGTTCTCAGAGACTTTGCTTTATTTATTTTGTACATTTTCCTCTGTATTTTCAAACTTCTCTTAAAGTACATTCCACCATTTTAAAAGCAAAATGGATGGAACTGGAGGACATCATATTAAGTGAAATAAGCCAGACACAGGAAGACAAATATCACATGTTCTTTCTCATATGCAGAGGCTAAGAAATTATCTGAACACAGAATGATGATGATTGAAGGTTGAAAGGAGTGAGGGTTCAGAGGGAGTTTGGACAATGGGTACTAAACCAGAGTTAGATTGAAGGAATCACTTCCTCATGCTACACAGCATAGTTGAGTATAATACAGTTGCAAAGACCTAGTGAATATTGTGTGGACAAATAGATGAAAGAAACCCCAAGCCTCTAATCATAAGATGATATCAAAGAAAGGGAAATGTTAATTACCATGTTTGGAGCGGCAAACATTGTATACATATTGTATACATATGTTGAACCTCACACTGTAACCCACGAACAACACAAATCTGTTAATAAAAATTTTTAAAAACATATCCAAAAAAGGATAATAAAATAAGTTTTTTTTATTTTTTATTTTTTTTTATTTTTTTGACAGGCAGAGTGGACAGTGAGAGAGAGAGACAGAGAGAAAGGTCTTCCTTTGCCGTTGGTTCACCCTCCAATGGCCGCCGCGGCCGGCGCGCTGCGGCCGGCGCACCGCGCTGATCCGATGGCAGGAGCCAGGAGCCAGGTGCTTTTCCTGGTCTCCCATGGGGTGCAGGGCCCAAGCACCTGGGCCATCCTCCACTGCACTCCCTGGCCACAGCAGAGAGCTGGCCTGGAAGAGGGGCAACCGGGACAGAATCCGGCGCCCCGACCGGGACTAGAACCCGGTGTGCCGGCGCCGCTAGGCGGAGGATTAGCCTAGTGAGCCGCGGCGCCGGCCTAAAATAAGTTTTAAAATTGACAGTTTTGGGGCCAATATTGTGGCGCAGTGGGTAAATGTCCTGGCTGCTCCACTTCTGGTCCAGCTTCTTGCTACTGCACCAAGCAAACAGGGGAGGATGGCCCAAGTATTTAGGCCCCTCTCACCCACATGGGAGACCTGGATAAAGCTCCTAGCTCTTGGCTCCTGGCTTCCTGGCGGAGCCCTGGCTATTGTGGCCATTTGGGGAATGAACCAGCAGGTAGAAGGTCCCTCTCTCTCTCTCTCTCTCTCTCTAACTCTGCCTCTCAAATAAATAAATAAATCTTATGTTAAAATGGACTAATTCTAGCTCCTTTTATATTTAAAGAGTCAATAGATGCACTCCTTACAGACATATGTACCTATTCTCACTTTCTTAAACTCTACTTTCCTAAACCTGTAATCCCCTCTCCTGCCTTTTATTACTCTGTCCTGTCACAGCCAGGCTCAAATAAAAACAGTATTGCCATCTTTTAGTCACTCATCAATATTGTCTCACTTATTCAATCTTCAGAATTAACCATGTGAAAATTCACTTTTTTGAAATATGTTTTCCTCTGTCCATTCCTTCAATTTAATTAAGGGTTCCTATTGGGGCCTCTCATTTTTTACTCTGTAATTTTCATGAGTGATAGAGTTCTTTACTAGCTCAAAAGCTCTTCTAAAGCTCAAACACGAATATCCATTCTCCACATCCATAACTGAGTTCTTCATTCCTATTGCTCCTATCCTGAAAGCTGCTCTGTCTGTTGCTCTGTCTAAATGCCTGTTACCTCTTTCACCCAACTTCCTAACAGAGCTTTCTTGTGTCAACAATTTAGGGATTTCATTCCCTTCCTCTACCTAAGCCTGCCATTACCATAGGAATTACTAACCAGATTTCAAGTGCTGGTTCACACATTTGTACTTATAATAGATGATTAATTCTATGCATTTCTTGTTAAAATGTGGTATTACCCACTGTATCACACATGAGAGCACTTAAAAATTCCTTAAAGATAGGAAGAATGGATAGTTGAGTATAAGGATGGGTGGATGATTTGGATGGATGGATGGATGGATGGATGGATGGATGGATGGATGGATGTGTGGATGGATGGATGGATAGATAAGAAGGAAACTACCTGAGCATTTATGCAATTGGATGTGGATTCAGAAGAGCTCTATTTCCAGGTTGTAGTAATGGGTTAAAGGTGGATACTGCTATTATTCTAAGTCACAAAAAGAATATGATTCTAACGGAGACCATAGGAAACACAGCCCTGCATAAGAACCATTAGTGTAAGAGTTAAAAACTTAAAAAAAATAAAATAAATTAAAAGCATCTGTAAAACCATATTGAAAATAGCAAATAAAACCTAGCTTTTTGCATTGACCCTTGGAAGAAACTTTAAATTTGGTTTTGGAGAATTAGAATCAATTTTGAAAGAGTTCTAGGGGGTAAAATAAGGTGGTAAAAATGAAGAGAGCATGTCTCTTAGTATATGTGAAATTTTTCATGTGCTTTATAGTCACAATAAATTTTATGTCTCCCTTGTTCATCTAGTGCTCTTTTCATTTAACTGACTTGTCACCTTGAAAATATTTTCTGGGAGAGAAAGAGCCTTTTATAAAAAGATGGCTCTTCTTATTACTTAAAAGACACACTATCCTGTATGTTTTTTGAAGATTTGCTGTTATTTTATTTCCACTGAAACCTGAGCTCTGCAGCGTTATATCTATAACTAATTTTTCCAGTATATAATTTAATACAAAGTTATTAAATTATCCTAAAGTAACTGAGATCCATTCCTGCCCTTTTAATACATATATTTTTAAAAACACTCCAAGAAATATGGGGTTTTCTTTTTGAAAAAGAAAAAATAATAAACAATTATTTTAATTTCAGTATATATGTTAGTAATATTGGAAACATTCTAATATTCAAAGCAGCAAAATTTGTTTCTAATTACATGTAATCTCTATCACAATTACGATTTATTTTATTACATTAATTCTTGGTTGTAGATGGAACTGATCTCTAAGGCCAGTCCAAAGAGAAAAATCTTTGTAGTCTATATGCTATGATCAATGAATTAAGTGTAAGTGCAATTAAACTCTCATTTAAGTCAATAATTAGTAAATTTCATCAGTGTAGGATTGCTCATCTTAGAAATAAAGATCTGCCTTTATCACCTGGGTCATTAAATTGGGTTTATTGGCTACACTTCTTCTAGTTTAATGGCTTTTCTGCTTAGATACATGACTCTGGGAAGTGAGTGCTTCATGTTGGATTCTGCTACATGAAAGCCTGATACCTGTCCTGTGTTGGCTCACTTGACTATGTGCTTCTATTCCTGTACGGTGTGTCATGAGCATATTGAGAGTGGTGGCAACAGCAAGGACAAACCCTGTTAAATTCTTCCTCTTTGTGAAACATCATCTATTTTTCTCATTCAAATTTTACTCAATTTTATTTCAGGAGTCAACTTAATAATATCTTCCTGGTTGCCTACTACAGAAAATCATTTTTTCCATTAAAATGCAAAGAACAAAAAAGCTGATATAACTTCCTTGGCACTTCCTACCTTTTATAGCATATCATAATTATTCATATGCATATTCAAATTCTTTAATGCCTTTGTTATAATCAATAGTTACTTTTGCTATGATTTCACAAATACCTGTAGAATGTAAAGGACAATGCTAACACATCTTTGAATACTTTCACAGTTGCTGGTAAGATTCATTTTCAGTTATAAAAATAATATACATTTATGTGTATAGGTATAAATTTATGTATGTACATCTGTAGTTACAAAATATCGTGTAAATAACTCATCTATAAATTCATTAATACATCTATCCATGCATGGATTTAGTTATTTTTAAAAATATTAATTATTTCATTGAGCACCATGCCAAGCACTAAGACCATAAAACAGATTAGTAGGGTGAAACAAATGGTTCTATTCCTGAAAGAGACTAAAATAATATGTGGAAGATAAAATAAAAGTGTAATAAAATGAAAAATGCTTTTATAGAATCAAGCACAAGCTGCCATGGAAATAGCACAGAGTATGACTTTGAATGAAGTCCCTCTTTAAGCTTCATTTTTTGCTTTTTGTTTTTATCTATCGGGGTGTTCTAGAAAGATACATAATGTTTTCCTATGTGTTGGAATATTGGTGAAACATTCGTTTACCTGTTTCCAGATTTAATAGCCACATTGTAATTCTGTGTCTACCTATCTACATTTGTGTGTTAACTGTATGTATGTCATCACTTATCCCATACCACATATCTACAAATATAGAAAAGGACCAAAGAACCTGACATATAATTAGGACTCAATAAATGTCTCTTCCTTTTCTGATTCCAGTGCATTCTAATAAGGTGGAGGAGTGTTTGTAGAAAAGGCTGTGATGCCTATTTGTTATTGTCCATATATCTAAGTGCCACATTGTGTTTTTTTGTGGTTCTGGAGTTGCCTCTTTAGAAACCTTCACTGTACTCTGTGTACAAAGGCCACTAGATGGGGCTTGTGTGCTTAGTACTTTATGATTTAGCAAAATGCACTTCCTTTTAGTTTTTTTAAAATTCAGAAACAC